CTCTGCTTGCTTCGTTTAGTTGCTTTGCATGATAAAAACTGTTCCATAATAAAGATTCTGCGTGGGGTTTCATGATCACATATCGTCACAAAGCAGTGAGAACTTTAGCTGCACTGGAGGGCTAGGACCCAGAGCAAACACTACATAGGAAGCCTCTCTAGTCACCTACCCACCAAGGAGGACTCATACAGGTCTTTGAGAGAGAAATGAGGAGAAAAATTTTAGTGGGGAAGCAGCCAGTAGATCTGCAAACTTTAGGAATTAAGGTAAGAGAGGAGCAGTATCACAACAACTGCTGGTTTATAAGATATCAATGTTCTAAAAGAAAATACTTTGCTTGCTAAAATTCTCTCAACAATACCTGACTGGTACTCAGAGTACATTATAGAGAAAATGTTTGTTGGCTTAGGAGCAAACCCTTCTCCAAACTTTTTTCTTCTGTTGCTTCCATATGAAATTACATATACTTTTAATTAACTGCATTTAAAATGAGCTATTAAACCTTAAAAAAACTGGTGGTTTTAACAGGAACATTGCCACCAGTTTAACTATATTACAAGCACAAGGCTGTATATTACGGCAAAGTATATAGTTAAGAATGCAACTGGGACAGTAGGCTGGTCTGTTTGGAAGGGGTCTATGATAAACTGAAAATAGACACTCTTACTCTAGGATAAGAGGATTTGCACAGAAAGTTCTCTCATATGTTAGTTTATCAGGTAAAACTTCTGGTGCAGTCAAAACCTGGCCTTTAAAATTCTATTTACTGGCATTATATCCAGCTGTTGACACAAAACAATCAATCCTGTGATGGGTTACTCCAAACCACTTCAGACCTGCTACTGCTTTCAGATTAGAGCTAATTTGCCAAGTTAGGGCCAAAATGCTGAACCAACAAAAATACTAAAGAAAAACAGCCTCTTTGTGTGAGCTCTCCACATCTCTGATGCTTTTTATTATATTAGAATTCAAAAGCAAAAACAACCCCCCCACCCCGGATCTTAAACTAACAGTTCAAAAATTGGGAGAAGCCTGAAATTTAGTATTGTGCACTTTTATTTTTTCATGACTATTATATTCAAATTTAGCCTTGACACCATGAGCTGTATCTGCGGGTGTGGTAAGGCTGCTTTACACAGTAAAACCAATGTGGTTTGGGGCTGAATGTGTATATGCTCATGCTCTGGCCTTTAGAAAGAAATGCTGCAAGCCTGTGTAGGGGTTTGTATGCCACGACCACATTAACAAAGAGAAGTAACATGATTTGTAAAAACAAGAGTATGCGAGACAAATCTACCCCATACCAAGCCTCAAGTCCTACTAGTATAACAAGGAAGAAATATGTAAAGCAGCACCAGGATCACAGCAATGAAAGAAGCAGCTTTAAGCCAACTTTGCAGAAACAGCTTCCTGACCACTCACTCTGTATGCTAAGTGCATCTGAGATTTGGGCCTTGCAGGTACTGTAGTCCTTTGCAAGTTCCTCTTCCTGTAGCTACTCCCATCAGATCCCTCATCAGTGTGTCAACAACAAACAGGACAGCCTTAGTTTCTCAGATTCTTTTTACACTATCCTCAGTCACAACTCCAAGTTTCATTTAATTAAAAATGAAAACAAAAACAAAGCACAAGGAATTCTACTTAGGGCTGCCACTGCAGCTTAAATCTCTTTGAAACACACAGCAAAATACTTCAGTGTGAAGTGTAAATGTTTTTTAAATTATGTTAAACCGGAGGTGTCAAATTCACCTGGCCCCATAGGCTGGATCCAGTGCATGAGCTGCCTGTTTCAACCAGTCCCCAGACTGGCTGGGGCAGGTATCATGTGCAACACAGGTCCTGGACCAGGTGGAGTGGGCACCACATGTACATCCCAGACTCTGCACACAGGGTTGATGCAGTGTGCAGTACGTGGGTCAACTCTGAGAAACAGGGAGAGCATCAGGGGCTGAGTGATGGGGCTCTGTGGGCCCTGACACCGCTTTGTTAAATAAATTAAATTGGTTTGTCTAATTTTAACCAGGGATGGAACCTATACCTTTACCGAAGGGCTAGGAAGAAAACAAATATACCAATGTGATTGGAGCTGTGTAAGATAACAGTTAAATGGATAAAATTAGAATCTCAGTCTGTTTCTTGCATCACGCAAATAAGGGATTTTGAGATCAGTACCTGAAGCATGCATCTATTTCTCGTAGTCAGGAAAAATGTACTTCCAATGAGAAGATATGCCATATCAACTTGATAATGACCACTGCCTGAGGTACTCAACTATGAAATTTTTGCATCTCAATTTATTTAGCCTAGGGTATGCTTACCACTTCATAAGCAGGAACGATTCTCACTTTATCATCTAAGGGCCACAGAAGTGATGTGGTATAGGGCATACGCAACCAATAACAGAATTTTGTCCGTAAACGCTTTGGATGAGTGTGAAGAAATTACAGACTGGAGATGGGCATTTTGACCAAATTAAGACTAATTAGCACCTGACAAAGTAGGTTGTTGCCTACAAAAGTTCAGCCCTCTCTAAACTAGTCAATCTCTAGTGCCATCTGTCCTACCTTCTGCCTGAGCACTCTAAGGGAAAATCCAAAAGGAAAAGGAAGAGAAAAGGTATGCATCATCATGGAGGCACTAGCCCATTCCATGAAATTAAACGCCACACTGTAACTGTTACGTAAAACTGCTGAAGTTTCATACTGCTAGGCATCCCATCTCAGTGCTGTAAAATGCACTCATACTCTGTGGAATGGCCAATCATTTTCCATTCCAGAAGTAGATGAAATGATTCCTATAGATCTATACAAATACCAGCTGTCTGTTAACTTTACGAATAGAGATTCCTGGGACACAATTTTCATTTAAACTCATCTTACAATGCTCAGCTTTCAATTTCTTCTTTCAGGGTGAAACTTCCTGTCCTTTGCCTCAAGTTACAGAAATTTTGTGGGGGAAAAAATTAAAGAAAATCCCTTCAATTGTTTTTATTACCAAAGTTTTCAAGAGTACTTAGCATTCCTTTCTCCCCAACACCATGAAGTTTATAAATGTCAAGTGATCTTCTGGGCATACTCAAAATACCCCACTTCCTTTTTTTCTGTGATTAAGCAGAGACTAATTTGTGACATCACATTTTTAAATAGAAATGCTCTATTTCATAGATGCAGCATTTCTTTCAGGACACAGGTGTTCCACCTCGTCCCAAGAGTTGCAAGGATTGTGCCTATGGAAGACTTTAAAGAAGAGTACTGTTTTGACAGTCTGATAAAAGGTGTGGAAAGTATCATTACTCTTCTCAGCAGTCTGTTGAAAACTATGGAGGCCAAAGTTTGAAAATAATAGCTTTAAAAAAATTTCCAAAAAAAATAAATAAATAAAATTAAAAAATGTTGGTCTCTTTCTTTCTGCTGCTGTGTTCTACAGTGCATCTTCCTCCACATTTCCTTGCTGTTCATTTTTTAGTTTTGTTAACAAGGAATACTAAATGCCTAATGCTAATACCATTTGCTCACATGGCACAGGTAAAGTTCAAGCTTTAAAGGGGCACGGCTTTTAGGCCCAATTAAATAGGTATAAGCAAATCAGGTTCTATTAACCTGATAGATACTCTTGGAACATGCCCCAAAATAAGAAAGCAACTTGCAAATATGAAGCATGGGCCTGACCCCGAGGTCTGATCTACGTAAAGCCCCACTGAACTGGCTGCTGACCTACTCCTGCGTAGATGAGTTGACCATCTCCTTGATTCAACTGATGATCAGTGTCACAGTATATATTTTACATGCGTGACACCAAACTTACACACTACATAACTTAACTCGCTCATTAGTTAGCTTTGGAGACCTTCAGGGCGAAACGCTCTATATAAATATGAAATATTATTACTGACTTGTAAATGAGCAACAAGCTACATGCCAATGGAAATGTTTTAGAAAGTATTTCCTAATGCTGTTTCCCTTAAAAGGAACTGATGGTTTTCGAGCCAGCTTACTGATAATGCCGCTGGTGCCAAGGCTGGTTCAGTAACTAGGACTCCAGTCTACCACTCCCAAGATTTTTTATCTAAGATGAACTTCTTTCCTCGAGCTTAAATAACTTCTTGGCCTAACAAAATAAACATTTAAATTAAAGCGGCTGCCAGAAGGTGATGACTTCAAAAGTAAGGGAGTAATTCTGCACGTGTTAACGTCTGACTGAGTTGGCGGGACTATGATTTCTACACGGAAAAAATCCCCCTGGTGCTCATGGCGCACCAGAGCTGGAGCACCCAAATTTTAAGACTGTGATGTGATAGATGCTAAGATGGTTGTCCAGAGCTTTGCAGGGCTGGCGAGTTTCCTGTGGAAACTGGAAAAAAAAAAAAAAAAATTCACTGGGGAGGGGAGAGGGGCAATTAAAGCAAATCGCTAACGCGGGTAATAAGCCTGGCGCTCCACAGAAGAGATGGGTTTCCTCTGGTTTGAGGCCTGAAAAGCGGAAGAGCCAACTGCGTCTGGAGAAACAAAGAGCAGAGGAAGCGTGTGCGGGACGGGGGCTCGTCCTGGGACGCCACCGAACTGACCAGTACCAGGCCCCAATGCGCTTCGCTTGGGCCCAAGCCAGGAGCCAGCTGAAACCCCATGGTGCCAGGGACAGGAACAGTCTCCGGCCTTCAGCATAGGTCTGACAGGGGGTACCCAAACATTGGCACTGCCTCTCCCCCCAACCACTGCCTCACAACTATAGGTCCCTCAGACCTTGCCCTTGCCCCATAGCCATTGGCACTGCCCCTCCCCCCCCAGAACCGTTGCCCCTCAGCCGCTGCTCTTCAGCCGTTGGCCATGCCCCACAACCGTTTCCCCATTGCCGTTGCCACTGCCCCTCCCCCAACCGTTGCCCCTCAGCCGTTGGCAGTGCCCCTCCC